GCAGGGACTGCGCATGCGCCTGGCGCACGCTCGGCGGGGCGGGGGGGACCCCGGGCCGCGACGTGCGGGCCAGTGCTTCGTTGTTCTCAGCCTCGCGGCTGGGTGATGCTGGGAGCTGCCCCCGCACGGCGTCGTGGTTCTGAGTTCTAGAAACGTCTATCGTGCAAAGCCTTTCTCTCGCAAAGCATTACGGCACAGCGGGCACTCGCAGGTTCCCCAAGCCGGAAGGCTGCCCTGGCGCGCCGGCCAGCCGCCGCCGGGGGAGCCGGGGTGCGGGTCCCCGGGGAGCCGAGGGGGCGGGGCACCCGCGCCGGTGACTGGGGTGCAGGCGTGCGTTGGGGTACACCCGGCCGCCCGGAACCGGGTTCGCGCCCGGGGAGTAGTGCATGTCCTCTTTGCCCAGAGCCTGTGAGGCAGGTGAGGCCCGCGGGTGCCGGCGGCCAGCTCCGTCTTCCCCGGAGCAGACGCGATTGGAGAACCGATGATTTACACGCGCGCGCGCGCGCGCGCGCACTCTACCCAGAAAGGTCAGAGGTCAAGTCAGTGTGTCGCGACGGAGCAGGCAGGTGGCAGGTGGGAGAAGTCTCTGTGTGCCTGGATGTTTTCCAGGCCCCTCGTGGCTCCAAAATCCGGCGATGTGCGGCTGCGTGCGTTTATTTATTTACTCGGTTAATTAATTTACAGCACACCATCCTGTGAGGACTTGTCAGGCTCAGCGCACGTCCGGAGAGGAAAAGATGTAGCCATGGCCCTGGGTGGTGGACGTGGCTCAATCCGTGGCACACACTAGTAAGTGGAAAAGCGAGTTACAAGTGAAAGCCTCTTACAACTAGCAGCAATACATATTGTGTGTGAGGACTGACATGTATCTATAATAAAACAACAACAACTTTTCTTTCTTTTCTTTTCTTGGCCAGTCCCAGGGCGTACACTCAGGGCCTGGGCGCAGTCCCGGAGCCTCTCTGTGCTCAAGGCTAGCACTCTACCACTTGAGCCACAGCACCACTTCTGGCTTTTTCATATACGTATGTAGGTACTGAGGAATCAAACCCAGGGCTTCATGCCGGCTAGGCAAGCAGCATACCCCTAAGCCACATCCCAGCCCCATAAACACATTTTTAAAAAAGACAAGAAGGCTCACACCAATTTCCTAACAATGCCTGTTTCTAGGCAGACAAGGAGGAGAAGAAGACCTGGAACATATGAAGAAGGAACTTCTATCATTCCTGGTCAACACGCACACAAATATTTAAACAAAATAAACATATTGATTGGAACTTTAAGGTATTTCTTTATGTCTAAACTTCTCTTTATGTTTGAGTTGTTCCGGGTAAAAAGAAACATAGAAGTGTCACAGCCGCTGGGTTAGGTGTGTGGGCTCACTATGAATGGGTGAAAATGGTGTGACTCACTGGGAACTCGGGCGGGCTGGGGTGTACTGTCTTTGGGGACCAGTATCAGACATATAAGCTGTAGGACAGGAGGTGCAGAAGGCACTGCTGAAAATGGAGACAAAAGAGGCCTTTTATCAGGGATGAGAATATCCAAATCCCACGGGGATAAAGTGAGATACATGTCCTCTCAGTCCCATCTCACTTTCCTTCTGTGTGTGTAACCACCATTACAAAGTCTTTAACAAGCGCCAACTTCACAGCTGTGGCCCCGCTCTCTCCACATTGTTAAAACTGGTCTCCTGGATAAACCCGTTTTGAACTCGTAAAGGTTAACTGGTGTTGCATGGTAATTTAGTATTACATCTACATGGCTCCCCCAGACCGCCCCCTCATCTCCCTAAAGGCTTTGTTTATTCATTTACATACAGCCTGGTCACACGGAAAAAACCTCTAGGCTGGAATTCAGACAGGCCTGGGTTCTCATTTCAGTCAGGCCACTGGCTGATCCTTTGTTAATTTAAGAAAAACATCAGCCTCCACAGGCTCCACTTTCCTTTTTCTATTTTATTTGGGGATGTACAAATAGGGCTTATTTTTAAATTACGAAGCATAATACACAGGGTTATGTGCATTTGCTTAAGTAGGAGGAGAGGGCGTTGTTTTAGGGGGAAAATTGGTGGGGAAAACTGTTGGTTCTTTTTGGTTCTCTCAGGATTGTGTATGTGCGTGTTAGCTGCTTCTCATTAAAAAAAAAAAAAACACTAGCTGAAGAAGCTCAGGTCTGGAATTCTTAACTTCGTGGGATTCTCAAGCACTTGCTTATAATTCTGTTGCAGTCGTATGATCCTGAGCCTTCCATTAGTTATTTATGCATTGCATTTTCCAGTTTACCTTGCTACATATTTTGCAAAAACTCCTTGTATTCTTTCTCTGATCCTTTCTACAGGGTGGGTGCTCCACAAATTTAATTAATGAAATTAGCTAGAATTTTGTGAGACACAAATTTATTCTTATTAGGGCATGCCATCTGCCGGTTCCCTGGTGTATCTGTCACTCAGCCTCAATTCCATAATATAATCAAATGAAATTTGTGTCGAAGCGTTTATATGTTTGTGTATTGGGTAATTCCCTCGCATCCTTCCATTTCCTGCTGCAGGTGCTATTCTTCCATTGAGCCAGTCACAAATTCTTTTTCCTCCAACCGTCTTTTACCTATTGGCCACTGATAAAACATGGCAAAGTGGAGTTTGCATTTCGGAACTCAGGAGTGACCTGAGCAGAATGATCTAACTGGACATGCTCAGTAGGAGAGAGCTGTATTGGAATACAACTGCAGCACATCTTGAAAGAAGATGTGCAAGGCTGCTTGTCTGGGGATTTAATGGGTCTCCATCCTTGCTTATACTGGGATGTTGCAGCCCCTCCCATCCAACTGTTTCCCACACTTTTTAATTTCAGCTCTGTGCCCAATTTTGGAACCAGCCTTCTTGGATGTCTCGGCCAATCAAGAGACCACACATTGTTGCCTAAGAGACCCCGGATGCCAGGGATAAGATTTATAGATGGTGATTGGACTGCTGGAAGCTGGGAGGGGTGGAGACTGGAAGGAGTCAAAGAAAAAACTGACCCCGTGCAGCTATGGCAACCCCAGCGCTGTAGACTTGAGGAGAGAGACAAACTGAAGCAGGTGAGAGCGAGGGCAGTGCATGAAATAGAAGGAGACTATTTGGGACAACTCTGGGGTCTTCTACCAGCCTTGTCACTGCTCCTGGGGATGACATTTTTTCTCTCCTCTTCTAGCTGCCAGTTCAAGTACAAGGAGATTAATCATTGCGAAATTAGCAACTAGCAAATAATGAAGATCAAACGTTATCTCTTTGTGCTTCATTATCATTTTTCTTTGTTTTTAACTAGTTGAGTATAAGATGGCTTCAAATTCAAATTCAAACCTATACTGTTTCCTGATAAACTTCCTGATTATGTTTGAGATTGCCTGTCTAAAGACACCATAGCGTAGGGTGAATGAATTGTGTGTCAGCAGAGAAACTCAATCCTGTTCTGCTTTGTAAGCTCTAAAGAAAAATCCAGTGAGCCTGAGTATTGCCCCAGTGCCCATTTCATAATGTTTTGAGTTTCACTGTACATTTCCATTACTTTTAATCCCCCTCCTCTATTGTGTTTATTTCTTACATTGATTCAACAAATATTTGGTGAGCATCTATTATGTAGTGTGTTATTAGGACTCAGATGATCAGAATCAGAAAAAACAGAAGCATCAGATTCTGGTGCCACGTTCTCATGGTGGTCAGGCAGTCTCTGTGTCTGTGCAGAATGCCTGGAAGAGGAGGATGAGGCTGAAAAGGTACATGGAAGCATACTCACAGTGGACTCTGAATTTCATGCCGAGGACTCTGAATTCTGGAGTCATTAGCAAGCCTAGGAAGGTTTTTGAGTTGAAAAGTGACAGGATTAATTGGTGGGGGGGGGCACGCGCACGTGCGCATGTGTGCATGAGTGCTGGGAGTGCGGGTATTCGGGCTTGGACTCAGGGCCTGGATATATGGGTTTCATGGACTTTATTGCCCAGGTTGGCTTTGAACCATTTTTCTTAGACCTCAGCCTCTAGAGTAACTAGGATTATAGGTATGAGCTACTGGCCTGACTTTTTGTTTTGTTTTGAAATACCTCTCTCGTGGTAGTCTGTGGTCTCTATTACATTAGGAATGACTAACCTTGTATTCCTAACTAGTTGTTCATAATTCTTAATAAAGCTGTTAATGGTGATGGTGGAGGAAATGTCATAGATCATGTTGGAAGTGCATGTACTAAGGACCTGTCACCTTGCAAGGAAGGAAGGAAGGAAGAAAGAAAGAAAAGAGAGAGAGAAGAGAGTAGAGAAGGAAGGAAGGAAGGAAGGAAGGAAGGAAGGAAGGAAGGAAGGAAAAGGAAGGAAGGAGGAAGGGAGGGAGAAAAGATGCTGAGAGATGAAGAGGATGGAAATACTTTGCATATTTATGAGTAAGTGTGGCACAATGAAATCCCCTTGAAACCAGAGGCTCATGCCTATAGTCCTAGCTACTCAAGTGGCTGAGATCTGGAGAATCTTGGTTCAAGGTCAGCCTAGGCAGAAAAGTTTGCTAGACTCCGTCTCCAAAGTAACCAGCAAAAAAAAAGCATGGCTGCAGACATGACTTAAATGGTAGAGTGCCAGCCTAGGAAATGTGAGGACTTAAGTTTAAGCTCTAATACCACCAAAGACAAAATCCTTATATTGTTAATATATGATAGCCAAAGAATGAAATGAAATTAAAAAAGAGAAGAATGTAAATCAATAGCAAAGAACAATAGATAATTTTGACTGTGCAGATCTAGACTATCCAGTTAAAATGATGATGTTTTGTATCTTTTTTTTTTGTCAGTTGTGGGGCTTGAACTCAGGACCTGAGTGCTGTCCTTGCACTTTTGTACTCAAAGCTAGTGCTCTACCACTTTGAGCCATAGATTCACTTCTTGTTTTAATTGGAGATGAGAGTCTCATGGACTTTCTTGCCTGGGCGGGCTTTGAACTGAGATCCTTAGATCTCAGCCTCCTGAGTCACTAGAATTATGATCATGAGCCACCATTGCTTGGAGATGCTTCATATCTTACTTTGCCTGCTCAGGTGAACTTTTATAGCTGGTTGCCAATTAATAATACTGCAGTGAAACAATTTCTTATGCCTAAAACTTGAATAAATAAATGCTCTTCCAATTTATCCCTTCTCCCCACATATCAAAAAAACGTCATGGCATTAGTATTTGTAGTATTCTAAAGAATGTCTGATTCATTTCTTCAAATAGGTGTAGCTGTCTGATGAAAGAATACCATGATATTTTGTGATGGCATTTGCACCCCCCAGAAGCACAGATGGACCCAAAATGCAGACAAAGATGAGCACCTGGACACCTCTAAATCACCAGCTTTTGAATGACCAGGTAAGTGGCCAGACTTCTATCCTTTGGATACTTGCCTTAAAAGGGAAAGATAGTAGCAAAAGTTGGATGATCAAAATATGACAACAATTGTTTAGGATTCTTTGATGGATGAAAAAACATAATGAAGGACTTGTTTTAAAACAAGTTATTGAACTTTTGCTATGTGGGCAAAGTTGACAACAGACTCAGAGTTCTCATCAAATGGGGTTTTCTGGCTAGCGCTGGTGAAATGCATCAAATAAATACAGTGAGAACATTTCAGCCAATTAGAGTTCTATATCAACTTCTCCTAATTTCATTTCCTATTGCATTCTGGCAAACACTAGTAGAATACGCCAAACAAAGGAACACATTGGGTTTATGAGGCATGAGAGTGGTCAGCCGCCAGGTCGAAGCAGGGAAATCCTGCTTCAGTAAGGGGTAGAAATGACCAGCAGGTGTGTGAACTCCGGTAATCAGTACTTGGACAGCAGTACCACATTTAGTTGGTAGTAAAATCCAACTCACATGTGTAAAACTGACCTCACCATCTTGGTCCTCTGCACCAGTTCCTCCTCCTGGTGAAAAGCTCTATTTTACACCATTCCCCAGATCAGAAATCTTCCTTCTTGCAATCGGGCCTGAGAACTGATCTTTCCTCACTTTATGAGCTAATAAATTAATGAGTTAGTTGCCTTATGGAATAGAACATTATCCTATTTAACAGTAAAACGATACAAGAGTCTTGGGTCAGAAAAGAAATTCATGAGCCAGGCACTGGTGGTCACACCTGTGATCCTAGCTACTGAAGAGGCTGAGATCTGAAGATCACAGTTCAAAGCCAGCCTGGGAAGACACATTTGAAAGACTCATCTCCAGTTAACTGCCCCCAAAAGGCCAGAAATGGAGCTGTGCTCAAGTGGTAAAGTGTTAGCCTTGAGCAAAAAGTTCTCAGGGACAGTGCCCCCAGCCTTGAGTTCAAGCCTCAGGACCAGCGCACACATGCGTGCGCAAACACACACACACACACACACACACACAGAACTTCACTCACTACAGGATGAGCTTTCTGTTTGCATTGGCTTTCCTGGTTAGCCTTCCTCTACAGGACAATGAAGAGGCCTAGATACATGTCCAGCACACAGTAGGTTTTACATGGTAACTCAAGACCAGTGAGCCTAGAGGACCCGCTGCCTTGACATAACTAGTGACCAGTCCTGCTCCTGGTTGTAAAGGAAGACATAGCTTTTCCCTCCAGGTTGCCTTCCTTCAATGCAACTTACATTCTTGATATATGTAGACATCTGGAGATAGGAGAGGCCATCTGCTCTCAGCCCCCACAAGTCTTCCTCTCAGACATCTCTCAGTCCTTTTCCCCATCCATCCTCCAGCTCACATTCTCCGTTCATTCTCCCCTCATCCCTTGCCAGGCACATGATTGCATTTACCCCCTAAGTGGTTTTGCTGCCTCTCTCCTTATGTCTGTTTTGGTTCCAGAATGAGCTTTCTAAAATGCCAATCCTATTATGTGAAACTGAAAATAGGCTCCATTACAAAAAGTAAACGCGAGTTCCCTAAGCATATCTTGGAGGCCCCTTTGTGCCCTGGCTCTCCCTCAGCCAGCCTCTCAGCTTGCCTTCTCTGGCACCTGATGCCCACCCACCACATGAGTGTTCCAAGTGAGCTCCAACTCCCCCTCCCACTGAGAGTTCACTCTGCCTCCTGCCTCCTTCTCTTTGGTCCCAACACTTTTTTCTGCCTTTCCCAATCAACTCTAATGAAGTAAGGCTGAGTCTCCCTCTCACTCTTTGAATCTCCAGTGCCTGAAACAGCTCCTAGAACATAAGAGGTGAGCATGAGTCTAGTACTCCCTGATACCAATTCTTTTCTTTTTTTGGTGGTATTGGGTATTGAACTTGGGACCTTCTGTTTTAGGAAAGCACCTATAGTAAGTAGAGCCATCCTCCCTGTCTTTCCCTTCCCTTCTGATACATATATATATATTTTTTTTGGTCGGTAGTGGGGCTTGAACTCTGGGCTTGGGCGCTGTCCCTCAGCTCTTCAGCTCAAGGCGAGCGCTCTACCACTTGAGCTACAGCGCCACTTCCAGGTTTTCTGGTGGTTTATTGGAGATAGGAGTCTCACGGTCTCTCCTGCCCGGGCTGGCTTTGAACCGCGATCCTCAGATCTCAGCCTCCTGAGTAGCTAGGATTACAGGCGTGAGCCACCAGCACCCGGCTTCCTTCTGATTTTTTTTTCTCCACAGCTGGTGTTCTATCACTTGAGCCACACACCTCAAGTTCTAGCTTTTTGCTGGTTAATTAGGGCTAAGAAATAGTTTCTCAGATTTTACTGCCCTGGCTGGCTCAGCCCTCAGATCTGTCTCCTAAGTGGCTAAGATTGTTGGCATTAAGCCACTAGCTCTCAGCTTTAAGTTTATTTTTGCCTAAAGTGGCAGTTGACCTCAGTCCTCCTGTCTCCACCTTTGGAGTAACTTGGATTATGATTTCTTTCCTTTTTTGTTCTTTCTTCCTTCCTTTCTTTCTTCTTTCTTTCCATCTTTCTGTCTTTCTTTATGTATACATGTATTTATTTTCTCTGGACTTACAGGTATGAACCACTATGTCCTGACGTGGGCATCTTTCATTGACTGTCATCTTCATTGGCCTGGAGTCTGTCCTTCGCTTCTCTAACCCTAACAGAGGCGTAAATCCTTCTAGCAAGGACTTGTTTCTTTTTTTCCTTCCTTCCTTCCTTGCCAGGCCTGAGTCTTGTCCCTTAGCTTTTTCACTCAAGGTTAGCTCTCTATCCTTGAGCCATAGCTCCGCTTTCCAGCTTTTTGGTACTTAATCAGAGATAAAAGTCTGACAAACTTTCCTGCCCTGGTTGACTTCCAACCATAATCCTCAGATCTCTGCCACCTGACTTGCCAGGACTACAGGCATAAGCCACCAAAGCCTGGCCAAAGACAGTCTTTGATCTGATCCTCTTTCAGGACTTTCCCTTCCTACTCTAATATGAAATAGGAACAATTTTTTTAGAGAGAGGCAGAGGAGCTGAAGAAGGTTTGGAATAAAAAGAACTTAAAAAGAAAAATAGGTAAGGAAATGAGAGAGGAGGGATATAAAAGGGAGCCAGGAAGCCAGGTTCTCAGTGGCTCATGCCTGCAATCCTAGCTACTCCAGTTAACCATTCAAAAATCAGAAGTGAAGCTGTGGCTCAAAGTGGTTGAGCAAAAGAACTCAGGGACAGTGCACAGGCCCCAAGTTCAAGCCCCACAACCGACCCTACCGCTACCCCTGCCCCTCCAAAAAAAGGAGCTAGGAGAGTAGAGAGAAAGGCCTCCACTGATACCTGTGCTCACCAAACAAATCTTATCCAAATTATTTCCATCAGTACAATTATTTATTGAGCACCTGTTTGCAATTCCCCTCACTCTCCACAGTTTATATAACAGCTTATTCCCCTAACTTGAATGTTTAATTTTTAAATCTGTTTTTCCATAGAACTGTGAAAGTTTTACACACGTGTGAGAAAGTGACTTGAATTCAAATACAAAGTTGTTAGATTTGTGGGTTTCAGAAATTTTCTTTGGAAAATTAAGTCTTGATCAATTCAGCCACTGTGGAGGGGGGAAAAATGCCTTAATAGCCTAAAAGTATCTGAGTACCTGATGCAAATTGAATGACCACAGATTCCTTTACTATTTGTACTGCTGAGGCTTTAACCCAGGGCCTTACCACTTGCTAGGTAAGGGCTCTACCATCGAGTTACGATCTAGCCCCAAGAAACAGGTTCTGAGTTGAACAGATAATGGGCTCCTCTTGGGGACAGAGGAATAAGGTGGGCTGAAATGTAATCTCCACTGCTGACACCATTGCTGATCTGAGCTGAAGCTGGCATGATCTCACAGAGAGGCCTTGTAGATTGTGAAGAGGATCTGGCCTTTCTGTTTCACACTGACTGTTCGGTGGATTTTAGTGGTAATGCCTAGAGAAAATAATTATTTCATTGCTCAGGACTTGCATATTCCAAAAATCTTTTGTTTAGTTAGGCTGTATTTGAAGTAAAATTATTATTATCATTTTGTGTGCTGGTGTTAGGATTTCAACTCAGCACCTGAGCACTGTCCATGAGCTTTTTTGCTCAAGGTGCTCTACCAGTCTAACACTTGACCCCACAGCTCCATTTCTGGCTTTTGGGGGGTTAATTGGAGATAAGATTTTCCTGCCGGGCTGGCTTTGAACTTTGATCCTCAGCTCTCAGCCTCTTGAATAGCTAGGATTACAGACGTGAATCACTGATGTCTGGCTTGGAGTGAAATTATTTTTTAAAAATCTTTATTTGGGCGCCGGTGGCTCACACCTGTAATCCTAGCTACTCAGGAGGCTGAGATCTGAGGATCGCAGTCAAAGCCAGCCCGAGCAGGAAATAATGTGATACTCTTATCTCCAATAAACCACTCGAAAACCGGAAGTGGAGCTGTGTCTCAAGTGGTAGAGTGCTCGCCTTGAGCTGAAGAGCGCAGGGACAGTGCCCAAGCCCAGAGTTCAAGCCCCATGACTGACAAAAAAATAATCTTTGCATGTGTATATACATACCTGTATGTGTCTGGATGAACATAGATAATGCCTAGTAATTATATATGGTTATATTGAACTTTTTTTTGTCAGTCCTGGGGCTTGAACTCAGAACCTAGGCACTGTCCTTGAACCTCTCTGTGCTCAAGACTAGCACTCTACCACTTGAGTCACAGCACCACTTCCGGCTTTTTCTATTTATGTGGAGGAATGGAACCCAGGCTTCATGTATGCTAGGCAAGTGCTCTACCACTAAACCACATTCCCAGCCTTATACTGAACTATTAATATCGAATTTTTAAAAATTGTGGCGTCTTAGTGGCTGGGGGTGGTGTCTATTAGAAGAGATAGCTTCCTATTGTTTGCTGTTGTTTTTATTTTATATGGTATGCTAATGCTTCAAAATTTAAAGCAATTCAATTGTAGTCATGGTCCTCAGTA